TTTATTGGATATATAATTCGATTAGTTCAAAAATTGTTTGAAGGAAAACGATCGTTAGTCGATTTAATCTTGCTATTTGTTTGTACAATCATCGCGTTACGCAATTTAATTAAAGGTATTGTGAAGCATGGAAAATAACGATTTAATTGATCTGTGTCGAGGATGTTTTGTTATAGCGAGCAGCTCTTTCCTGGATTGATATTTACCAACTTGTGTTTCAGATCTCTTTAATTCTGGAAACACGGAAAGCGATGACATTCAAGGTGAGTCATTTTTAGTTTATTTTGATAGTTTCTGGAAAGAATTTAATGCTTATTATTTAACTATATATGTATATATATTAATTATATTTATAAATATATAAATACGCTTGTATTAACGAATTGTATATTATAATTTCAATTATACTTGAATTTTTATTGCTGTATCTTAATATTGAATAAAAAAGAATATTTTCATAAAAACATATAAACACTTTATAATAATTTCATAAAATATCATAATAACCGATTTTCAACATTGATTATTACCACGATAATAACAAAATTGTATTATAATAATAAAAATATAATAAATAAAATGAAAATTGCATTTCTCTCTTGTTGCAATATAGAAATTTAATTATTTTTATTCCCACATTGTGACTTCCAATTATTATCAAAGATCAATATCAAAGATCATTGTATGTTCGTTGATACTTTATAATATATATACGAACAAAATAAATTTATTTATATATATGTTTTACAATTTATTTATTATTTGTTATTATCGTATTTATTATATTTTTGTTTTTGTAAAATTATATATATATATTCATTTTAATGTATAAAAATATTATTATATAGTACATATACATTTAATATAATAATATAATATAATAAAAAGTTATAATAATATAATAAACGAAAAAGTTCTATTATTTAAATATACAATAAAATAAATCGGTAAACGATAAAATGATATTTTTAAAATCTTTTTCTTTTAATTGAAGCTAAATCATCGAAATATTTATATTAAGTATTGTTATACATTTTACAATCGTTTTACTTTGCGTTTATAATTTTTTTTATAACTCTAATATGACTTATGAATAACTTATATAAAGAGAATAAAATATAATTTTTAACAATAAAAATCGAAAAGTATTCATTGTTACTATATATTTTGTATAGAAAATAAAATTTATTTAGAATTTACTACAAAACTTAAAATAATGATAAAAAAAAAAGGTTAATCGACATCAATAAATTTTTAGTATCGAATTCGTGATTTTTAAAAAGATTGCATGAATAATAATATTGATAATAATTGTTATATTTATTGTTAAAAATATTGATGATTGTTAAAAATATTCTCAATATAATTTTATTATGATTCCACTTCAATCTTTTCGAGAGCTCACACGATTAATAATATTGATATTGACAATATTATTAATGTTAATTGTATCCAGAGAAATATCGAATTCATCTTTGCTAATAAACTTAATTGCAATAATACTTTATATACAAATACATATTGTATACTTAAACTGAAACGCGTTATTCAACAATGTCTATACTTTAAGAAGTTAAAGAATTAATACTATTAAATTAATATTATAATACTATAAAGAACTTCATTTATATTTTATATAAGAGCATTTTATTAAAATAAGAAATATCATACATATATATAGATTTAAGAAACATTTTTCCTAATGGATTAAATAGATTTTTATATTATAAAAAATAATCGGCTAAAGTTCGAATTTATAAAAAGAAAAACAAAAATCATAAATCTTTGTCAAATAAAGATATAATAATTGGAATGGATTATTATGAATTTATTGAAATAAAATTTATAAATAAAGAATTAAACGAAATTATATTGTTTTAATGTACAAGATGTTTATAGGATACTTTTAGAAGATTAATTCTAAAAACGAAAATAAATATAAAAGTTAATACACAAAAATTAAAGTTATTTATTAAATTATAAACAATTGAAGTTTATGTTAGATGAAATTCTAGGTAAAACGAGAAAGAATTATTTCACTCTATCTATATCTTGCTTTGTCTAACGCATATTTCAACTGAAAAAATAAATTTCAACCGACATTTATGTATATTTTTTTTGTACCTTTTGTGTTGGCTTCTAGAATTTATCTTCTTAAGATGTTTCATAAATATATTAACACCTTGTATATACAACAAAGCGAAGACAATACAATTTCTCGCAAAAATATAATATTTTAATAGAATAATGCAAGCGTTTATACAGCAAAGTGTATAAGAGACTACTTTGATAAAATAAAAAATAAATATTAGAATAAGCTAATGAGATAATTAGTCGACTAACAATGTCAAGTTGTTAAGTTTATTATGTATACGTATTGTTATCATCGATTTATTGAAGTATATGTGCGTATTTAATGGCGGCGACCAGCGAGTCTCTGGCGACCAGGAAAACATGAGTGATTTACGGATGATTCGCTGAGGGAAATGCATTGAATCAAATGCACTATTCACACACCATAAGAAATAGTTTTAATTTTTAAGAATAATTTTTCTCTGGAAAAAATAGATATTGATTTTATATTCGTATCTATTTGTCTGTACTGATGATTTTAATAAATTTTAAAAAACTTGTCAAATGATTTAACATTCTCACGAAAATGAAAAATTTGTCAAACATTTTTTTCACATGACATTTTTGCAATGAAGAATGCAATCAATATTTCTTTCTTTTTTTTTTTTGAAAGGAATTTTATAATTAATAATTTCTTTGACACCCATTCTGTTTGAAATTTTCTATGATACTGACAATTTTTTAGTTTTCGAATAAACAAATATCTATAATCATGATTTCTAATTGCTCACTGACTTTAGCAGTAGAACGTTCAGTAAAATGAGAAAAATAAGTTGAAAAGTTAAAAAAACTTTAATCTTTATCCATCTTTCATGTCAATTTAATGCACTTTTATGCAAAAGATAATATTATTTCGCCATTTGTAAAAAAACTGATTTAAGTCTTTGTTCGATATTTCTAAAAATATTTATTTTTTTTTAAATATACATCTGTATATATACATATATAATGACAAAATATATAATATATAATAAATATATAATAACAAAAATATGTGAAAATATTTATTACAAAAATATCTTTTATTGTGTTTGATACATTTTGTCAAATCTATTGAATTCAGATTTCTGTTTATAATTGCTGCATAATAATTATGTATTCATTAAATAATATTTATCTTTAAATTAACTAAACATATGGTTTTTTTTTTATATTCATATTAATTGGAATTTAAAGAAAATAAAGAGAGATGTTATGTTCTCTTTGTTCTTTCCATCCGAGAGATAAAGTTAAAGTTGAGATAAAGTTAAGAACGGTAAGATCAAAGCAATGCGAAGTAAAGAACATATGTCAATGAAATTTTCCGAAAAATTCAAATAATCTATTATGTAAATTTTTATTATTTTCAATAATTATTTATCTTTTCATTTCGTTCATTTTTTATCATTATGTATTAATTTGATATATGAAAGACTCTTTAATTGTAAATTGCAAAAATAAGTGATGAATGAGAATTAATGAGAAAAAATAACAAAAAAAATAATTCAAAATGTATTTAAAAATTATAAAATTTGTTTTGAAATATATGCTGAATGGAAAGCAAAGCAAAGAAGAAAGACAAAAAATTTAAAATTAATATATATTTTTCATAAATTATATATGTATATATTATAATTATAATTTTCCAAGTATATTATTTTGGTATATATTTTTCGAATTAATATGGAATATTAACTGTCAAAAATTGAACGATAGTCATTACTTTAATCAAAGCTTTCAAAATGTGATAGTTTTACAATTAAAGTTCGATTTTTTTATGTTCATATTCTTGATGTTCTTTTTCATGACATAGATATATTCATGGAAGATTGATCAATGATCGACTTCAATCACAGTGGTTCACTAATTTATCGACCTGGTTTTTTCTCGTTTTAATGATTAAATTCTATTTTATATAATATACAAATTTTTCGAACGAACAATATCATTACCAGTTTCAAATTAGTATCAAATCAATCGTAATAATATTTAGTATCATAATCAGATCAATATATTTGAAGACAATTCTATTTTAATATAACATAGATATTTTTCGAACGAACAATATCATTATCAGTTTTCAAATTAGTATCAAATTAATCATAATAATATTCAGTATCATAATTTAGGTCAATATATTTAAAGATATAATGAACAACAATATATTTCTATCAATTAAACATTTATTTTTTAAAATAATTTTAATCTTACTCGTTGTATGTAAAAATTCAAACAAGTAAGCGGTATACACACACACTGCGAATATCAAGCCATATCGAAATATACATAAATAACAAGATTTTTCATATGCATAATGTAAATAACAAGAAATTAAATTTTTTGAAATAAATTAGACTTTATTATGTAAAAATAAGTATTAAAAGCAAATACATTTATTACATATACATATTTTGTAAAAATATTAAATTTCTGGGGTATATTATTTTTTTATTACGTATTGCACCCTAAGTAAAAAGTTATACAAATAAAATTAATATTTATTAATATTATAATATTAATTATAAACAAAGATATATATATATATATTTATTGCAATTATATATATATATATATATATAAAATAGATCATAGAAACTAATTTATTTTCCGTTTTATTTAAATGGTAAAAAATACTTACAGATATTTTTTTTCTTTATATATTTTCTGTTATAATCATAAATGTTAATTAATATTAATTTCATTATCTGAAAGTTAAGTAACAGTTAAAATTTTTAAAATTTTTAAAAAAGTTTTTTAAAAAAGTATTCCAAACTAGAATCAGAATAGAAGAGAAAAAATATATTCTTATACAGGACGAACTTAAGGAAAATGCATATATTATTGCAAATTATCAATGTGAAAAATCGAGCAAATTTTCTATTGTATAAAATAACAAATAAGAAAATAAGAAAACAAGAAAGGAAGAAGGAAAGGAAAGAAGGAAGAAAGAAAGAAAGGAAATCAAAAAGGATAGAATAGGTGGTCAAGAGCATAAACAAGGAATGAAAATATGAAGGTATGGGAAGATGTCGCGGGAGCCAACCAGGTGGTATGTTAGATCAGATCCATAAGACACAGGAAACTAATTCAACTTGCTAGGCAGATAGGTTAATCTTTTGCGAAACAAGAACGAAAGAGCAACAATGCCGATAAGAACTTCCCTTTTTAGGCGAAAAGGGGAATGTTAGTCTCTTTCATGCGGTATATTACAGTCAATGAGAGAAAGGAAAAAGAATGAAACTTTACCGAGAAACGGACGAAATAACAAAAGAAACTCTCTAAATATCGCGTAACGCTCGTAGGAGAGTTAGATATTGCATCCTTTTTTTTTCTTTTCTTCTTTCCCCTTTCT